TTTCTGGTAGTATTTTACCTTTGGTCAGCTACTGAGTTTCCTAATATGTCATCTCCATCTCCTTTGAAGACAGTTTTCTATGACAGAAAATGTGCATCTTAAAATGTTTTCTCACATCATTCTAGCCAAAATTAACAGTGTTTTAAAATTAAATACAATTAAAATTTTTATAACCTTAGAAAATCTATTGGAGTGATTTAAAAAGAGAGCAACAGAGAAAAATAATCATCTCAACTGATATTCAAATGCATTTGATGAATTTAATAGCCATACATAATAAAAAAAACTGTTACAAATTAAAAATGAGAGGACTTTTCTTAATTTCATAAAAATATCTACCAGAAACCTACGTTAAATACCATTCTTCCTGGGAAAACAGCAGAAGCACTGCATTTAATTCAGTAATTATACAGGGCTGCTCACTATCACTGCTGAAATTCAACATTGTACTAAAAGTTCTCAATACAATATGTCCTGGGGGTGATTTAAAGGTTGAAAAGCAAGATATAATGCTATTATTGTTTATAGACAGTTTGACCATTTACCTTGAAAACTCCATGTAATACACCAATTGTTAGGATTAGTAAGAAAGTAAGAGAATACACTAAAAGTCACACAGATAGAAGATCAACATTTAAAAAAATGAGTAGCTTTTTCAAATACCAGCAATAATCAGAAAGTATAATAGGAAAAAAATCCTTTTTACTACTGTAACAAAAGGTAAACAAAAAATGGCATAAGAACTTATTGCAAAAATTAACTTTACTACAGGAAATACAAGAAGATCTAAATACACAGGGTACTATATCATATTCATATATGTGTGGAACAATCAATATTTTGAGTACATCAATTCCTTAAAATTTACTGCAACTTCAAAAAAAATTCCAGTGGAATAATTTATGAAATTTGATCTTAAATAGACCCTAAAGTTCCTATCAATGAGTAGATGTGCATAAAATAATGGTGAACTACCTATTGTATTATCCTGAATGGAGCTGGAGCCCATTTTTCTACATGAAGTACCACAAGAATGGAAAACAAACACGATATGTACTCACTATTAAATTGGTATTGATTGATCAACACTACTGTGCACATATGGAAGTAACATTCATAGGGTGTTGGGCAGGTGGGAGGGACAAGGAGGGGAGGAGTAAATTCACACCTAATGGATACGGTGCCCACTGTCTCAGGAATGGGCACGCTTGTAGCTCTGACTGGCTGGTACAAAGGCAAATTATGTAACCAAAGTGTTTGTACCCCCATAATACTCTGATATTAAAAAAAAGAAAAGAAAAAAAAGAATTTTAGAAATTGATTACTCTAGATTACTAAAAAAAGTTACTGTGTTTTTTCAAGGATTAGTTAAGAGAAGTAATATTTTAACTTTTGATAGTTCAAAAATTAGTTAAAAAGCTTCTTGGGATAACTAAGCAGTTCAAACTTTAAAAATATTACTTCTCAAATTTCTCGGGAATTTTTATAAAATCAAAATATTATAACTACTAACATTATGGCTGGTAGTTGAAGATGAATAACATTTTACAAAACAGAAATTTATGCACTCATTAACCTTCTACCCATCAATTATATGAGTTTTCTAATTGTTACTCTTATCACATATCTAATTTACCTTATAGATCTTACTTTGCCTGTCCTAATCACTATCATATTCCAGAGTTTAACACAAAGCCTCGCTACTAATAGATGCACAAGAAATTAGTGGTAAAGAAATAAGTAAATGGGCCGGGCGCGGTGGCTCACGCCTGTAATCCTAGCACTCTGGGAGGCCGAGGTGGGTGGATTATTTGAGCTCAGGAGTTCGAGACCAGCCTGAGCAAGAGCGAGATCCCGTCTCTACTATAATTATAAAGAAATTAATCGGACAAC